GAAAGAGCCATGAAACTGTTGGGGTTTGATTCTAAAGCACAGAATGAGTTTGTTTGCAGCCACCTTCTGCTGTGTCTCTCAGCTTGTTCCAGCAGAATGGTCTGACAGCAGTACAACGAAACGGGGCATCTTTGCCTCCTGGTGTCTGGAGTGAAATGAAGGGTAGTTGCTTGGATGCATTTAGACTGAAGTTAAATTTTGATTTTGCACTAAGGATTTATCTGCATAAAGCTCTGGTTTATAGCAGAGCTCTCCATGCACGAGGAGCATCTCTGGCTGTATCCTGTGGCTCCGTGCTTTTCAGTATAGATTGAGACCAACTTGTAGACACTGAGCTGGCAGAGAAACATCTTTTTTTATGTACAACACATGAGCTTCACTGGGCACTAAATTAACTGCATTGTATAGCTGTGCCATTTACTGGTGAACACACTGGTGAACTAGTGAAGTACTGAGTCTTTCGTATTATTTTTAAAACTGCTTATTAAAACAGTGTTTAAAAAAGTCATTGCGAAGTGAAACTTCCAATGCAAGCTTCATAACGTGTCTCTCCTCCATTTGGACTTTTGGCAGCTGTAGCTCCTGCCGGGGCCCACTCTCTTTGCCGTGCAGTGCTGATCGTGGCTCTTCAGGTCCCTCATGTACCCTGAGGCTTCTTGCCCAGCCAGCTCAAGTCTCCCCGTTTTGAGCTCCCTGTTGCTCTTCTGCTCTTCTCTTGTCTTATCCAGGTCTTACCCCCAGGCCAGACCCAGTCCCACCTCCATCAGCTCCCTTTGTGAGTCCTTGTTCACCAGCAGCCCCAACCTGGACTCTTTCTGCATTGCCAGTTTTTGCCCCCTGCTCTCATGCAGCTCACATGAACCCCTTTTCCTCATTGATTTTATTGTTCAGTTGGTCCCCATCCCTCCTTTCCCAGCATCCCAACTAGTACCCATCTTGTTACCAGCTGGTCTCTCCATTTCTTGTCCAGCCTTAGCTTTCTGGTTTCTATTAGCCCTTCACCCACCTCCAGTTCCAATTTCCATTTTTTTTACTGCGATCCATTCTTTCCTCTCTGGTTCAAGTTCTCTTGACACTTGAATCAGCTGGTGTCTTTGCATACCGGCCAGTTGAATTATCAGAAGAATCTCCAGCTCTCAGTCCTGTAGTGACGCGGAACAACCATTCTGGGGAAGATCAGGTTGCCCTGTAAGCCCAGGGTGGAGTATGGCAATCTGTCCTGGAGATGCAGCCTGGGGAGGGCCTATAGCACATCCCAGCACATGGCTGAGGCAGCAGCGATCAGCTCTGGTTTGTAGTCAGAGTTTTTTTTTGAAGTTAGGTTCTTTTAGCTTTGCAGGCAGTTATTAGGCTACTGGAAAATGATTTGGCTTTTATTTTATTAAAAATCTGATGTTAAGCTATTGGATGTTCAAACAGAATCTTTTCATCTTGCTATGGGACTAAAATGGGGAAAGCATTCCTGTGCAACTCTGCTTCTGACTAGAAAGCAAATTAATCAAGTGGCTTTTTAACTTGAGACAACACTTAGAGCTGAGAAGCAAAGTTTAGCTTGGGCATCCTTATTCCCATGTGTGCCTGGTGTCCCCATGACATCCCGGGAAGTGGCTGGGACGTGCCAGAGGAGGCCCTGCTGTAGTCGGTGGTCATCGAGTCCCTTGTAAACAGTTATCTGTATTTTGAACTGCATTGGGGCTTTGTTTATTCTCACCTGCCCTGGAAGGGGAAGGCAGCTGAGGTGCCCTCAGGATTAGGAGTTTTTCATGTTTCTAGCCTAGCTTTATTCTAGAACACTTTTACAGTTGTTTATTATTGTTCCAGAACGGACTTTGAGTTTAAATATTGTGGGTTTTTCCCCTGGTGCTTGATCTCTTGATACAGCTACTGCTTTTTTTAGTTCCTGTCCTAGAGTAGACCCTGCCTTTTCCTGATTGCTCAGTGGCCTTTCTCTGTACATGTTCTAGCTCGACTTGGTTTATCTTGCACGGGGATGACCAAGACAGTCAACCTGTCTCAGAGACACAGCAGTGCTTTTGTGGCTCATGTTAATGCTTCCACCATAGAGGTGTGCTAGATCTGCCTGTTTGATCAAGCCAGAGAAGGGCTTCAACAAAGACAATTGCTGAGACAGTGAAATTTCTCTTTTTTCTTCTTTTTTCCCCACTTATCAGAGCTCAGTTCTGTAGTCCGGGCTCCCCAGCAAACACATACTCCAGGAGCCCTCTGCCTCTATTTACACTGATCATTTGTGCCACTGAGACGGAGCTATAGTCAAAACTGA